AGCTGATGCCAGGGGCTTAGGTGGAGAGGAAATGTTTTGAGAATGATGAGGGCAATGAATGTACAAATGTGCTTTACACAATTGATATATGTATGGATTGTGATGAGTTGTATGATCCCCTAATAAAACTATTAAAAAATTGAGTACAACAAAAACAAATATAAGAGATGTCATCCACCATTAAAAAAATATTAAAATCCTCCTGCAGTTTCTCCAACCTGAAGGAGAAACTATTCATAACTTTTAGCAAACTGAGCAGCCTCACAGACTTTCCTATTGCAATCAGAACATAGTTCCCCTTCCCAAAGACATTGTAGACAGGAATGTGCTTATTTGTTGTCTGAATCACACTACAATTAGAACAGACCAGGTCCCGACTATAATTGGATCTGTGGGACATTGTCCCTGGAGTTTCAGAATCTGTTATGTTGCACAAAGAGATTTCTAACTTTAATTTGCTGCACGAAGTGGAAAGTTTTCACAAGCAACCAAGACATGAAATTGCTCTCTTGTGCCAATGACAGGTCTTTGGGTGCATATTTCTGGAGCACAAATGTGACAGTGACGCTCGTGTTGTGACAGAAACTCCACAATGTGTGCTCCATCAGGAAAATATCTGACACCAGCCGCTTGGGGTTGAGCTGGAAACTGCAGACTATTTTCAAAGGTTTGGGGTCTTTATCAGTAAATTAATCTTCAACTGCTGAAACGTATTTCTTCACTTATTTGTTGACTCTCCCAAATTATTTTGGCTGACCCTCTAGGAGTTAAAAAAACAATAACAACCCAAAACCCAAGAACTTAGAAAGCAGAACAGTTCCTAAGTGAGAAGATTTACCAGACCAGGGGAAGACATAATAACCTTGTTTTTTGTTTTTTTTTAAAAAAGTGAACAGATGACAGAGTGATAGAGCTGTTATAAATAATGGTTTTAGAAAGAAAAGTCATAAGATTGTTTCTTTCCTCTTTCTGAAATACATCCTACTCCAGCCTCAATATTACCAAAAGATGACTTAGAGCAAGCATAACTATTTGAGGATTTTAAAAAATATGTTGACTTCCTGCTTGAAATCTTCCTTACTAACAGCAAATCCTTCAAACATAGGTTACTAATACTGTCACCCAGCTAATGGAGCATTTAAATGCAGACTATCTACATATATGAAGAAAGCACCAGAAAATGTGTATGGGGGATGTCTTTGTATTGCATATAATATGTGATGTTAATCTTCCTATGCATAGCTATAGATTAACATGACCGGATAAAATGTTGCAGGCAAATTGGACCTCCGTAACACGTTTTCTCTTCCTGGGATTTTCCTCCTACCCCAAAGTTGAGATCATCGTATTTGTGTTGTGCCTGCTGATGTTCCTGACCACGTTACTGGGCAACATTATTCTGATCTCCATCACCTTCCTGGATTCTCGCCTGCACACCCCCATGTACTTCTTCCTCAGCAACCTCTCCCTTCTGGACATCTGGTACACCTCTTCTGCTCTCACTCCAATGCTGGGAAATTTTGTTACAGGGAAAAACACCATCTCATTCTCAGGATGCGCTACACAGATGTACTTCTCTCTGGCTATGGGCTCCACAGAGTGTGTGCTCCTGTCCATGATGGCATACGACCGGTATGTGGCCATTTGCAACCCCCTGAGATATTCCATCATCATGAGCAGGAGGGTATGTTTGCAGCTGGCCGCTGGCTCCTGGGTGACAGGCTGCCTGACTGCCCTGGTGGAAAGTATGTCGGTGCTGCAGCTGTCTCTCTGTGGGAATCACATCATCAATCATTTCACTTGTGAAATTCTGGCGATCTTGAAACTGGTTTGTGTGGACACCTCCACGGCACAGTTAGTCATGCTGGTGATCAGCATCCTTCTCCTTCCCATGCCGATGCTCCTTATTTGTGTCTCGTATGCCTTCATCCTCTCCAACATCCTGAGGATCAGCTCCGTGGATGGCCGAAGCAAAGCCTTTTCAACATGTGCAGCCCACCTGACGGTGGTCATTCTGTTCTATGGGACAGCTCTCTCCATGTACCTGAAGCCATCAGCTGTGGATTCGCAGGAAATTGATAAGTTCATGGCTTTGGTGTATGCTGGGCTGACCCCCATGTTGAACCCTATCATCTACAGTCTACGAAACAAAGAGGTCAAGGGGGCTGTTCAAAAGTTGCTCATTAGAAATCCTTTTGGTACTATCTTAATTTCTATACTCAGATAATAATGGGACAAGCTCTACTGGTGTAATTTCCAACCTTATCTAGAAGGTTTTCATGTAGTAGTTTGTGTCAACCAAAACCCCAGATAATCCTCATTTGTCATTGGGGCTCACCATTAAGACTTATACATTGATTATAAAAATGAAATTGTTAATATTAGTGAATCATTTAGGTAGCCAGAATTATGCTTCCAGAGGAAGTAGTATTTTTAATATTAATATACCATTAAAATAAGACACCTGCCTATCTTTAACTTGTTATATCTTCTCAATATTTATCATCACCACAATAGTAACTAATGGAGGAAGAGTCTATCATGTTGAACCTATGTGATTTTGAAGTCATTTTTAAGTAAGTTATTCACAATAGCCTCTGAATTTAAGAATAAATCAGGGATATAGTACATTCTCAATAAATGTGGATACAAAGTATAAATGTACCATAATTCACAAAAGCAAAGCAGCACCAATTTTACAACTTTATTTCATTTCTAAGATATTAATAGGTGAAAAAAAATAAAGTTTAGACTAGTTGGAACAGAGTTGCAATTATTTTGGTTACTTTGGGTACAGATATAAAGGATAAGTAGATATCTCTGTATGTATAAAGATAGCATCACATGGATTTGCATGATTCCAGTTTTCCTATGAAATGGAGTAGAGGTCAAGCAACTAAAGTATCACATAAAATACCTATGAGTATAAATTTAAAATAATCGCGTGTTGTACTTTGATTGTTTCAGTGAATTGTCAACACATACCCCAGGCTACTATTTTTTTTTCCTTAGAGAAAGCTCAATTGACCAAATATGTCACTCAAATAAATCCTGAAGAGATGACTCACTGTCAGGGAATCAATGCCTACTCCTAGCGATCCTGCAGACCTGCCCCTATGAGTTTCTGAGTTGTAACTCCTCACTGGAGTAGAAAGTCCAGTCTTTCTCCTACAGAGCAGCTAGTTGTTTCCAACTACTGACCTTGCAGATCACAGCCTAACGTGCAACCACTGTGTCACCAGGTTCCAAATAGACGGCACTACAAGAAAATGACATATTAATATAGATATATATTGGTGGGGATATTAATAGATAGTAAAATAAAATTCTAAAAACCGTATAAATTGACTAACTTCCCTTTGTCTGTTTCGTCCTGACTGGAGTTGGGGAGTAAAAAGAAGCCTCTGTGTAATAATTCACTTCCTCTTTATCAGAGATGTGCCTTTATCTTATGAGGATAATCGATGTATCCTTTATAGAAGCTCATTTTGGCTAACATCAATAATTTATGCCCGAGCTATAAGTTTAGAGCAAATGAGATCATGTAGGAACTGTCACAGTGGTTCCTAACCTGAGCAAGAAGGCACTGTAAAGGAAGCGTTCAGTTTACAGTGAATGGACAGAAGATGGACCCGTTTACATGGGAAGAATTGAGTAAGTAGAGACTGTACGTGAGAAAACATTTCTCCTCACATACTAGATGTTTATTTTATTCAGAAACTCTTCAAAGGTAGAGGATGGTTGTTTTTATTATTAATAAAAGCAATATGGTTATTCTAATTTTTATTCTTACTTTAAAATATTGCTGTCACACAATGACCACAGTATAAAGATTATGTAAAATATCTCTTTGGCTGAAGAAGAAAAAGGAGTGTTAACCCTATTCTCCAACCAATTACAATAACAATTTAAAACATACAGTGATTCTAAATAATCACATACATTGAGCCTACACTTGACTGTTTTATATAGATTTACATTTTTTATATAAAATATTAAAATGAAATTTATATCGCATTATCTTCAGTGGGTATTTGAAACCTTCAATGATTTTATACATCAGAGTTTTTAAGAGTAGTGGACAAGCTAGAAATTGATTGTGGAGAATGACAATGGACTGTAAAGAAACAAGATTTAAAAACTAACAAGCCATCTTTTGGTGGGATAGCCATTTCCCCAGGGAAGTGCTCCAAATTTCAGGTATTTTTTAGGACTTGTATGGCTGAACCAGCAGATTTAGGGTCACATGAAGCTCTGCAAGGTCCAAATATGTTTTGTTGTTGTCTCTCAAGGTCATATATGATTATGTAATTCAGAATTGTATTTTAATTACTTCTTTATTATTGCGAAAGAACTCTGCTAGCCTCCGGGTTAAAGGTTGTGCTGACAACCCCAAAGTTTAATCCTCTAGCCAGTCTGTAGGAGGAAGATGAGACAATATGCTCCTTTAAAATGTACAATTTTGCAAAATGGGAGCATAAGCAAATGTGGTGAAGAAAGCTGATGGTGCCTAGCTATCAATAGATAGCGTCTGGGGTTTTAAGGGCTTGAAAGTAAACAAGCGTCTAGCTGAGAAGCAACAGAGTCCACATGGAAGAAGCACACCAGCCTGTGGATCATGATGTGTTGATGGGATCAGCCACCAAGCACCAAAGACCCAGAACAAAAGATCATATCAATGTGAATGAGGGGGAGTGCAGAGTAGAGACCCAAAGCCCATCTGTACATAATTGGACAACCCCTCACAGAAGGACATCCCCTCAAGGAAGAGACGAGCCACTCAGGGTGCAGTACAGCACTGGTAAAACATACAACTTTCCTCTAGTTCTTTAATGCTTCCTCCCCACCACTATCATGACCCCACTTCTACCTAACATATCCAGCTAGACAAGAGCATGTACTTTGGTACAGATAAGAGCTGGAAATATCGGGAATTCAGGACAGATAAACCCCTCAGGATCAATAATGAGAGTAACGATACCAGGAGGGGAAGGGGAAGGTGGGGGGAGAAAGGGGGAACCAATCATAATGATCTACATATAACCCCCTCTCAGGGGGACGGACAACAGAAAAGTGGGTGAAGGGAGATAGCAGACAGTATGAGACATGAAAAAATAATTATTATTTATGAATTATCAAGAGTTCATGAGTGAGGAAGGGTGGAGGGGGGAATGAGCTGATACCAAGGGCTGAAGTTAAAAGAAAATGTTTTGAAAATGATGATGGCAACATATGTACAAATGTGCTTGGCACATGGATGGATGTATGGATTGTGATAAGAGCTGTAAGAGTCCCCAATACAATGATTTTTTTTAAAAAGACATAATTGAGATAAATAAAAATAACTTTACCAAAAATATCACAAAAAAACAAGCAGTCATCTAAATGAGGTATCAACCAAGTCCAAATAAAAGAAGCACACCAGCCTGTGCGATCCAAGGATTGTGAATTTTAAAATTCAAATCTGAAAGAGGGACTGGTATCAGAGCTTAAATTGTGAACACCGGTATGGAGAAAGCTATGGATGACAATGGAAGCCCCAAATCCACCTGAAGAATCACCATATGGATTAAGCCTCTGGTGATTCCCCTCTGACCATAGTCCAGGGCTTTGAATAGCCTTGCTATCACACAAAGAGCAATGCAAAGTCGATTATAAAAGATGTAGCTAAGTTAAAATGCAATACCTTATCATGTCATTTTCCTTTTGACACATTTTAAAGTTGTTTCAGTTTTGAATATTGTATGCTTTCTTTTTGAATGAGGTATTTCTGTGTTTTGTATAATCATTGCTGCCGAGTTTGTGTTTGTTAGTTTCCTGTTTGTATTTAGATGATTCTCTGTATATAAATCCCAGGATCTGTAGATCTATGGAGAGACTGACTGGATTGACACTCACCCAGGGTCATGACCAGGGAAGATGGGGAGCTAAGGACAATGAGTATAGGAAGAAAATGTTCTGAAAATGATTGTCGTGATGATTGTTCAAATCTTCCTGATAGAAACGAATGATTAAAGTGTGTGATATGTGAAGCATAACCCAATAAAATGATAATAATTTTAAAATTATACAATAAGATGTACAGTCTTGGAAATTCTAAGGAGGAGTTCTACTCTGTCAAGGAAGGTCACTGTGGGTTGGAATGGGCTCCATGACAAGGGGGTGTGAGTTCAATTTCTGTTACTGTGAGGCCCACATTGAGCAGCTCGTTATTACAACCTTCTTTAGTACGAGGGAAAACGGTGAATTAGAACGCCACTTACAAAATTACAGTTCTACTCTCTAAGGTAATATCCCTTGTATACATTACTTCTAATATTCATGAACATTGATTTTAATATTTTATTTCATTTTTTTAACATGTCAATAGGTCATTTAATTCATGATTATCTTATGAAAGGCTGTATCGTTTTTCTTTAATTTGATGTTGTTATAATTATTCATAAAGTTTTTAGATAGTAAGTATACATGTTTCAGGAACCAAAATCCCAGCTTGGGTTCTCCTGCAGCAGAATCTGAGATTGTGTTTAGTGTGCCAGCTATTTATGGACGTTTCCTTTAGGTCAGTGTTTCCCAAAGTGGGTGAGACGCCCCACTGCGGGGTACTGGAATGATCCAAGAAGGCTGCAAAAGCAGACATCTACACTTTATCCCGGATTATGGTCTGCAGCACAAAAGTTTGCTGAGCAAGTTGTTTTTCTAAAATGGAGGAAATTGGGCCAAATAAGTTTGGGAAGCGGGGCTTCAGATCAACCCGGGTGGAAGAGGGGAGGCAGATGCACACTCAAGCAGAGGGCAATGCTAAGATGAAGTGCAGGCTCAGGATATCTTTGGCCAAGGCAGAGGTATGTTGGGGAGGGAGCTAAAATGTTCCATTACAGCTGATCCATAAGAGACTGAAATAGCCGGCACCGTATTCCTTTAACTACATGACTCATTCATTGGCTGAGTGCAGATCCTGGAAGACCCACTATCAGCTGTTGAAACCAAGCTTCCCTGATAAGTTGCCTGCTGCCATCACGCAGGCTAGGTTTTATCTGGAGGTTTGGGGTAAGAATCGCCTTTCCGTCTCTTTCAAGTTATTGGCTTAATCCTGTTCCTTGTGTTTGTAGGCTTGGGGTCCCCATTTCCTAACTGTGTCTCCAGCAAAGCTGGCTGTCATTTATCATATGGCCCCACCCTGTTTTCATGACTCCTTCATCTTCAGGTTCAAAAGGGCACACAAAA